CACAGTCATTTGAGCATCCGACTCTTGGTTTCAGCTCAGGTCATGATCTCAGGGTTGTGGGAGTGAGCCTTACATCAGGCTCCATGTTCAGCACGGAGTTTGCTTGGATTGTCCTTCCCTCTCCCTCTGCTCTTCCACCCCACAGTTGTGCATGTCCTCTCTCTCTCTCTCTCTAAAATAAACAAATCAATCTTAAAAAAAAAAAAAAGAATTGTGTTGTTTAGTTTGCAACTGTTTAAATATTTTCTTGTTATCTTTCAGTTATTTATGTCTAGTTTGAGTCCATTATGGTTGGAAAATACACTTGGTATTATTTCAGTTTTTAAAAATTTGCTGAGATAGTTTTATGTTCCAGGTTATGTTCTATCTTGGTATATGCTTGACTGTGATGTGTCTTGGTGTGAACTTCCTTGAGTTTAATCTCCAATTTCTCCTGTTCTCATGGGACTCTGATGACTAGAATGTTAAATCTTTTGTCATAATCCCACAGGTCTCTGAGACTGTTCATGCTTTTTCAGTCTGTTTTCTCTCAGTTGTTCAGATTACATATCTATTGTTCTATCTTCCAGGTCACTGATTCTTTTCTCTGTCTCTGCCATTTTGCAACTGAGTCCTTCCATTGAGTTTTTTATTTTGCACATATATTTTGTATTATTTTGTATTTACTTCTATTGTATAGTTTTACTTAGAAAATTTCTATTTGGTTCTTCTTGTATCTTCTATTTCCTTGCTGACTTTCTTTTATTTTTGGTTGAGATTCTATTTTTTCTTTTGTTTCAAAAGTATTCTTAATTGCTCATTGAAGAATTTTATGAACACCAATTCTAAATCTTTGTCAAATAATTCTCTCATTTCTGTTATCTCAGAATTGGCATCTACCAATTGCTTTTTTTCACTCTGAGATCTTCCTGTTTCTCATTATGACAAGTAATTTTCTATTGAAATCTGGACATTCTGGGTATGATGTTGAGACTCCAGATATTATTTAAACCTTTTGTCTCAACTGGCTTTCTCTGACACCACTCTGTCAGGAAAAAGGGAGAACTGCTTTGTTACTTCCAGATGGAGTTAGAAGTCAAAACCCAGGCCCATCAAAGGTGGCTGCATTGATAAAGAGCCCCACTTTTTTTTTTTTAAGATTTATTTATTTGAGAGAGAAAGAGAGAGCGTGTGTGCGCATGCGCACCAGTGGGAGGGGCAGGAGGAGAAAGAATCCCAAGCAGCCCCACAGGGCTCCATCTCATGACCCTGAGATCATGACCATGGCCAAAACCAAGAGTTGGATGCTTAACTGACTGTGCCACCTAGGCACCCCAAAGACCCCCCACCTTTAATTTGGGATCCCAAACAGCTACTCCCTAAGGTACTGGGAATCAGAACTAGACCAGTCCTCCCAGGAAGGTTGGTGGTTACCTGAATGTCTGTCCTCAGGCAGAGCCCACTATGCCAGGTGTATAACCCTGTGTCCTCAGGAAATTTCTCTCATGCCAAGTCATCTGAAGCACGTGGTAACCCAGCAGCCAGAAGAGCAGCTCTGGCTTTGAGAGAACTAGTATAATTGTCAGTGGCAGCAAAAATCAAAGATGTGAAACGAGCCTGAAGGAACCTTGTGTATATATCCAATTTAAAAGATGACAGTGTCCTTCTGTTCCAGCTCTGGCTACGTTCTTTTGTCTAGACTTTTCTAAGGCTGTCCTGTCCCATGAATAGAACTACAGTCCATCCATAACTCCATTCTGGCTTTGCTATATGAACAGACACCCCTCACACTTCTCATTCCAGCCAGTCACACTTCCCCATCGAAGAAATAGGAATAATTCTCCCATAAATAGTCTGTGTGTGCTGACAAATGGGAATTTGAAGCAGTATAATTAATTGCTGTTAAATCATTTAAGTGCCTCTGGTGAAACCTTATAAGAGAGAAGGTGCTTGTCTTAGGGAGACACATCAGGAGGTGAGAAAGCAAAATTTGAAGGGAGGAAAGGAGCTTGGTTATCTGCATTCCATATTAACATAAGAAAAGATGCTTTGGAGTAAGTCAACCTATCTGGAAAGGCCTATGACTAGGCTGTTGGCCTGTGGCCCTCAGGACGATGTTGCCTAACAATGAACAGGGACTTGCCAGGCAGGTGCTAGGAACAGTTATGTGCAGAGAGATGCACACCTAACATGTACCAGCATTCTGTACCCCCCTTGAGACTGAGGCGTGAGATACAAGCCCCTGTTTTCTCTTTGAGCAGAATTGATGTTTATGCAATTGGACAGTTAAGGCAGAAATCCAATTACTGAGCTAATTAGCACCTTTGAATGGTAAGCACCAAATGTACAGCAGGAAAGCACTGGAGAAAAGCTCAAATTACCCTGTATGGCTGACAGTTCACCTTCTTAGAGAGTCTGGTGGAGAACCAGAGGCCCTGGGGTGCACAGGCAGCTTAGCTTAGTTATTGCCGATCGAATTTAGCACTCTGCGTCCTATAGCCTTTTGAAAAGATAGCTTTCCAGTTAACATAGTTTTAGAAGGTGTTTTCATTCCCCAAGGAGTTTGGTAAATGACTTTCCTTTGGCTCAGCCCCACTTTAAAAATTGTTTATTCTGCTGCTGAAAATTCCATTTGTCCTAGGTCTTCAGGTTAAATTAAAATTCCATTTAGGGACTTATTATGCCAACATGGGATTTCAGCCTTCATTAGAAAGAATTTTGTTGTTTGCTGTATTTTTCCCCACCCTGGGCTCTTTTACTTTCAAAGCTGATCCAGGGTATTTGGAAGGAAAACTGAAGCAGTAATAGAACAGAGTGGTGGGGTTAATAGCCTTTTTGAGATGCAACCGAATATTTCTTCTCTCCAACCCATCTGCAGAACCTGTCCCACAAAGCTCAAACAGGATCTCACCTACATGGTTCTCAAATATCTGAGACAGATGAGAAAAAGAAAATACTTTTTTTCTTAGCTCCATCTAAGTATTTTTTTCATCTCTCTGATTCCCAAGAGACAAGTTCACAACAGAATTCTGCATTCTGAGGTTTCTTTTTAAGTACCATTACTACTAACAAGTGCTTGTCATTTATTAAATCACATTCAGGATGTCAACGATCATGTTTTTTTTTTTTTTTAGATTTTTTTTTTTTTTTATTTGAGAGAGAGAGAGAACGAGAGATAGAAAGCACGAGAGGGAAGAGGGTCAGAGGGAGAAGCAGACTCCCCGCTGAGCAGGAAGCCCGATGTGGGACTCGATCCCGGGACTCCAGGATCATGACCTGAGCCGAAGGCAGTCGCTTAACCAACTGAGCCACCCAGGCGCCCTCAACGATCATGTTTAAGTCTAAGTTAGTGGTGGCTAGTCTCCTTTCTTCTTAGCAGGTGTCATGAGAGAAAAATTAACGTTAGAAACAGCATTATTTTGGACTCTTCATTTATTCATCCCAGTTGTGAGCAAAGGTGTGTCTTCAGGCTACTTAGGTCTGGTGTAAGAGGGGGATATAACCAAATAATCACACAAAGAAATATATGACATGGTAGAGTCAACCTACTGGGTTCAAATCCTGGCTCCACACTTATGTATGGCCTTGGGCACTGTAGTTAATTTCACTGCGTCTCAAGTTCCTTCTCGGAGGAAATGGGTGTAATAATAATACCTATCTATGAATAATATCTATGTAATAATAATACTATCTATGAAGTTGTAAGGATATAATGAGTTAACTCACATGAAGTATTTATGAAGAGAAGTGTTACGGAAATATTAGCTGTCATCATTGTTAGTAATATTAGCTATGACAGGTTCCCCACAGGAGAGGTATGACGTGTGAAGGAGCATATGACATGAGTCTCACCTAGAGCAGGTGTCAGGAAGTCTTCCCTGAGAGCGATACTGGTGCCAGACTTGAAGCACTAGAGGAGTCCGTCAGGAAGGCAGGCGGGGTAGTAAGGACTCCAGGTAGAGGACGCAAGAGTCACAGAGGATGGCAGGGAAGGCAGGGTGACAGGAATAGGAGGTCAGGGCACGCTGAAGATGTGGAAAAAGGGTCTAGCATGGACCAGAGAAAGCAAAGTCGGGAGCCAGGCATGCTAAAAATCAGTTTCTTCACAAATGTGAGTAGGACCCCCATTATTGTTCAAACTTGTATGTAAGCCTGTATTCAATGATATATTTCTAGTGAAAGCCCTTTCTTAATGTCTTCGGTTTAACCATATGAAATTACCATCTTTGTACATCATGAACAGTTAAATATCCAAGGTCATGTGGTTGAAGTCAATCTCATATTTCATCCTTCAAAGGATGATGAGACCACCGCTTGAAGATCTGAAATAAACAGCCAAAGCAGGTCAGGCACAGTGTCTCTGAGCAGAGCTGACTGTTGCACTTATAAAGGCCTTCTGGGACATGTGAAGTTCAAGGACGGCTGAGGTATTAGAGGCAGAAGTGGGGTGATACCATTGGCACAGAAGGTTGCCTGGGGACAGTCTCCTTTCTTACCTGGGCGACAGTCTGATCGGTCGCCCCTTCAGAAGTCTGGAGTGAGTCTGTCCCTCACTGGCTGGCTTACAGGAGCAAGGGGCCACATGGGTCGGCTGGCTTACTGAGGCTCTGAATGGAGGTGAGTTGTCATAACTGGAGAGATTTAAAACTGATTCTGATGGCCATTTGTTGCCATGGCTACAGACAACCTCTCTCTTTTTTAAGTTTGTAAGAGCCGATTTCATTCTTGTGCTTCAACGGAAGAGAGGCCCTATAAGAATGCGCCCAGTGCTTGAAAGCAAGTGTCTCCCAATCCTGAGTTGTCATCATCTCTCCCCTCCCCATGTTTCTTGTACTTTTCCCTCTCTTTGTTATTGTGAGACCCCTCTTCCTTCCTGCAGCATGTCACGTAGGAGCAATCACCCTGATTGGTGAGTTCCATGTCCCCTGCATTCCCCACCACACGGCCAATTCTGTAAACCAGCTCTCTGTCCTTTGTAATGATCTAGTTGTGACCTTTTACCCTTTTGTGGTCCCTTCTAGCACACGGCGCGTGGATAATTCCAACACGAGACTGGTGGTCCAAATTGAAAAGGATCCAGGTAAGAAGATACCTTCCTTCTCTCTTTTTAAACTCCTGATTTCCTTATATAGATGGATTCCTTCAATCCAAGCAGGGGAAATGAGTACTCACTCTTTTTCGTCACTGTGAAGATGATGTATGTCTCGGTAATAAATATGCTGACTGGAAAAATAAAACTCTACAAATAGACTGACCAAACATCCTGATTTGGTTTGGAAATGCTTTTTTCCATTACTTAGAATTGATGTGGTACCTGTTCAGTATAGAATGACTCTGTCAATGAAGACATTTTAGTTTGTGTGACAAAAGGCAAATACAGACTCTAAACCTTGCTTTTGTTCTTGTAGCAAAAAAATTCTTAGGAAAATCGTCAGTGTTGTGATGTCCTCAAACGCAAATGATTCCCAGATCTAAGATCCAGAAGTCTTGAGAAACTTCGTTCAACATTAAGCTATGGAAGGAGTTACCTTCTAGGAAATTATTACTTTTTGCTTTCTGTATTCCGTTTCATTTTTAACCATTCTACCTCTTTTTTCCTCATATCAGAAGGCAAATTTTAACTCTTTTCTATTTTTATCCACCTCACTCTCTCCCCTGTGCCAAAAGTTTTGTCTAGGAAGAGTGGTATCATGTCATTATCTATATTTGAATTGCATATACCTGATTAATTTGAACTCATAATTTGATGTGGGAAAATTCCTGGAGAGAGAGGTTTATTTTTTGTTGACCTAAAGTTCAACTCGTCAGTACAACTTGGCGGGGGCGATGCACAACTATGGGGCCCTGTGACATTGCAGGGCCATTGACATTAGGCATATGGACAGTTTCACAAGTGCATCTTCCCTCCAGTTATTCATAATTGTTGTCTCATTTTAATCCAATTATGCGGATCTGTGGTCAAGGTGTTCTTTCTACAAAGACTCCACTTTGGTGCCTGAAACCATTTTTGTTTTATTTAAATATCAAACAGTTTGAACAATTAAGCAAAAATTAATTCTCTCATTCAGGCCTTTCCTTTAAAAGTGGCGGAAACTCAAAGTAATCTCTAATTAAGGTCTCGGGATGCATGCTGATTCATCATTGAAAATGAATTGAATGGCAGGTCAGGCAGGCTTCATCTGCACTGAAGACTCAGCATACTGATACTTCATTAGACTACATGACATGACTCAGCCCACAGAACGGTTTATTTCTCTCTGTTAATCATAATTAGGTTATAAGTGCCCTAATTTCAATTTGGTCTTCAACTGTCATGAATGCCCAGCAAGGATATTTATAATTTGATGTGTTATCTTAGAGATTTCTTACAGGTGGATCTGTGTACTCTTCCTTATGTAGGAAGGGGCCAGCCTTCACCTTCCTGCACCCCCAATCATGCTCCCTTCCCCCAGGGTCCAGGACAGGGGGAACTCTGTTCAGATCTGCCGTCCTTCTCTAGACCTTCCCTGATGCTGCCTCCACTCCAGCAGACAATCTAGAAGGGAGACTTGAATTTAGCTTTAGGCATTTCCTCTTTGGGGCGACTCTGCTTCTCTGACTTTCCAGAGCCAGAAGTTTACTCCCAAGCATGAGAGGCTCCTAAAATAAGAGTACTGAATGTAAACATTTCTCCCAGACCCTCCTGGCACTTCCTCCACCCACAAGACCACGGAGCAGGAGAACATCCAAGTTTATCCAGTCTTCTCTTTAAAATCTTTCTGTCCTTCATCATGAGAGATCTGATAGAGGGAGTGGAAGGGAGATTAAAGGAAATACACCATGAGCCCCCAATCCCACCCCCCCCAACCTTCCATCTCCTCTTCTGTACCCTTCCTTCACTCCTCTCTCGGAGTCATCATCCACCTAATTCGAATGACTACAATTAAACAAGCAAACATGTAACTGCTGGTAATGCTGAGTCTTGACAAAGATGAAGAACAGCTAGAACTCTCAATCACTGCAGCTGGAGGGGCTACAAACGTGGTACAGCCACTTTGGAGACCAGCAGCCCCACTCCTAGGTATTTACTCAAGAGAAAACAAAACTACATTCACATAAACTTCGGCTCATGAATATTTTTGGTGGCTTTCCTCCTAATCACTACAACTGGAAACAACCCAAATGTCCTCCAACGGATGAATGGATAAACAGGCTCTAGGACACGCATACCACAGAATACTACTCAGCACTAAAATGGAACACACTGCTGGGTACAGCAATATGGGTGAATCTCAAATGCATCTTTCTAACTGGCAGTTACATGACTATGCATTTATTAAGATTCATAAGATTACACACTAAAAAAAGATAAATTTTACTCTACATAAATTATCCCTCCATAAATCTGAATTATATATATAATTTAAAAACAGTAAATGACATCTGTATGATGTATCTATGTGTATATAATATGCAGACACATGTGTTTGTATATAATATATAATACTAGCAGTAATCATTTATATTGTAGCATATATATATATGAATTGATGCTGTTTATTGTCTCTATTCCTCAATGACTTTGATTTCAAAAAGCTCCAGGAGTTACTTGACAGGTGTGTTCTTAAAAACAAAATTCTCTTAAAGAGGCTATAGGACCTATGGTGTTATCTATGATTCAACAGATATTTAGTTAGTCCCTTTTGCACGTTAGGACTTCTGCCAGTGTTGGGACACAGAAATGAGCAAATTCAGACATAGATCTGTCTTCCGTCATGTCTTCTTCACTTTACTTTCTCCACTGCATTGGAAAAAATCAAATGTGAATCAAATAACTATATATACACAAAAACCGAAAGTCAGATTCCAACTGTGACAAGTGCTTCAGAGCTGAGGATCATGGTGCTGAGAGCCAGTAATAGGGGATTTGGCCCAGCAAAGTGGTCAGTGGAGGCTTCCCTGAAGTAGCCACTAAGATGAGGTCTGAAGAATAGTAAGTGTTCAAAAGCCAGAGAGGAATGGAAGAGCAACCCAGGCAGAAAGATTTGTGTCTACAAAGGCCCGGGGTGGGAAGGGCACGTGAGTCCCTCCACTGGAAGAAGTTCTGTGCTGAGCATAAGGGAGAAGGGAGGAAAATGTTTGTGTGAAGTGAGGATGGAGATCGAAATGGGGAGCAGATCCCACGTGCCCCTTGTGTGTCCATATATCCTAGGTTTGCTCCTAACTTACACCTATGACTGTCCCAGCTTTTACCTGGGAATGCTAAATTATATGGGATCCTATTATAGGTGATGCAAAGAAGCCTTGTTTCTATCTTAAGAGCACTGAAAAACCACTAAGGGCTAGAAGGTGATGGGGTTGAGGGGTCCTAGATAGCACATTCAACTTCTCAATTTGAAAAGTTCGTTCTGGCTGAATTGTAGGGACTAGATGAGGCGGCAGGTCCTAATGAAGATGCACGGGGGAGTCATAAGACTAGTGTGGCTGCCTACGTGAGAAATAATGCAGCTTGGAATAAGGTAGGGGTAATGCAAATGGGGAAGGGTAGAAAGATGCAAAAAATATTGAAGAAAGTAAAATTGAGAGGCTGGCGTGTGAAGGAGTGGGAACAGAGATCCCTGGGTTATGGCTGTCTGGGTGGTGGTACCAGTTGCTGAATTGGGCAACAGAAGGGGGGCCCGACCTGGGCATGTTGAGACGAGGAGCATTTGAGACGTACAAGAACAGATGTTAAGTGAACAAGTAGGTACACAGGTCTAGAGCTTAAGACAAGAGACCTTACCTGGAGGTATGACTTTGTAAGTCATCTTCATTAAGACAATAATTTAATCTATCTGTATAGAGGAGACTGCCAGAAAGATGATAAAGGAAAAAAAAATAAGAGGGTCTCACAAAGTTAACAAAAATGGGCAAAGTATCTAAAAAGCCTGATTTACCCTTGACCAAATAACAACTCATAGTTTCCTAGGTCTGCGTGTATAGGAGTAAGTACCCACTGATCTTGTTTCTTGTTCTGTCTTTAGGGAATGATGACAACAATCTTAATTCCATCTTTTATGAGCACCTGACAAGGGCCCTGCAGGAGTCCCTGTGTGGAGACTTAGTTCTTGGTCGGTGGGGTAACTACAGCTCTGGCGATTGCTTTATTTTGGCCTCCGACTACCTCAACGCTTTTGTTCACCTGATTGAAATTGGAAATGGTCTTGTCACCTTTCAGCTTCGAGGACTGGAATTTCGAGGTAAGAATCTCTTCATTGTGGAAGGTGTTGGAAGCCGGTTGCCTCAATTAATTATTGTGCAAAGTTTTCATGAGAAGATGCCATGAAAGAGCAAGAATTTAATGCTTGTCCTGTAGATGGAGGATGAGGGAGCTGGTTACACCTGCCTTTATTTGTGTATTCTGATATAGACACATCCCAGTCATCTGAGGGAGTAACGAGGTGTAACGTATCGTCTGATGTAAACCTTTGGTGTGGCGAGTCAGAACTTCGGTTTTAATCCTCCTGGAAAAAGCTAAGAAGTGACAGGAGGTTGTGGAGCATGCATGGGCTCTATGTGCGGTCAGCCAGGCCTGAAACAGAACCTACTTCTGTGGGTTTCGGGTGTTGTGGTCGGTAGTGGGCCATCGCTCCATGTCTGAGCTTTTTCTCTTCAACTGTACGATGAGAAAGGAAGAAGAATGGCGGCCTCGTAAAGTTGTGTGACTTAAATGAGGTCATGTATATGCGGGCACGAGGTGGATGCTTATTGCTTTGTGGTTATTGAGTTGACCTGAATCTTGAAAGCATGACCCTAGCTTTTCCATTAATACGCCGTTGGAGCTGAGTGGTGGAGCGCACAGGGATTAGCATAACAGATGTGCTCATGGGCCTTTCTCCCGTGTTCTTTGGTTATTCCCTCATTCAGTACATGTTTTTCTAACACCTCCTCTGTGTCTGGCCAAGTTCTAATGCTGGAGGTGCTGTGGACACGTGACCTGAAAGACTCTTACCCTTGTGGTGTTGACCTTCAGCGGGAGATGGGGAAAACAAACAAGTCAACAAATGAGCAAACTAATCACAATGGTGGAAAGCGCTATGAAGGAAGTAAATCCGGTCTGTGACCATGATCACTGCAGAGGGCAGGGCTGAGACACTGCTACATTAGATGGGGCGGCCAGGGAAGGCGAACAGGCAGAAGGATGTTGTGGGCTAGGAGCTTCTGAGTGCTACGTGGATGAGCAGGGAACCCTGATGTGACCAGGGCTAACCAGCAGGCCGGCAGCAGCGTGGCACAGGACGGGGTGGGAACCCGGCCAGGGCAAGGGGCTGCATTTATTCTGTGCATAAGGGGGAGCCATTTAGGAGTGTCTGTAGTCACCCAAACAGGAGAGGAGGGGGAGGCTGAGAAGTACAGGGAGATTTAGAGGTGGGAAGGGCTGGGCTCGGCGTTGAGGAGTGAGGGAAAGAGGAGGCTCAGCATGCTCCCCAGTTTCCAGGTTGAGCACCTGGGTGGACAGAGGTGCCTTTCCTGAGACTGGGAAGCCTGGAGGAAGAATGGCACTTTTGGGTTTGAGAGTGTCATCAAGGGCTCCATGTTGGATATTTACTTTTTAAATGCCCTTGATTCATCTAAGTGGATCTGTCATGTAATTGGACATAAGAGCCTTATAGTCATTCAGAAGATATTTATCAAGCACTGGGCTAAGTGCTGTGAATACAAAAGTGTGGGGCCCCACCTTAAGGAGCTTCGAGCCTTGCCGACAAGAGGCACGTACTGAGCAATAAGCATCACGGCAGTGCCAAGCATGGGGCCCCACGGGGACCAGAGAAGAGGCACTGGGATCAGACTGGGCGGTGGGTCAGCTCAGCGGGGGAGAGGCTGCAGCTGGAGGGGAGAGGCGAGTACATGATGATAAAGAGGCACAAAGTAGCCAGATGTGGTTTCCAGGTGGTTTGGGAGAAAGGGGTCCCAGACAATGCTGGAAAGATGATTAGGAGCCAGGTCATCACCATCCAGAACCTCACAGTGGAAAAACACACCTTTTAGCCAAGAACAAATTGCTATTATTTTATATTTTTAACACAATTAGCTAACTGTTTAACCAAGCCTTTTGGTGCTAAGCATTAGTTTTGTGAATATCTGCTACTTTTATTAGCATTCCTAAATAAGTTTGTACAAAAGGGATTTTTTTTTTTTTTTTTTAGATTGGTGTGTTCTGTGGTTTAAGCATGTATTCTGTGCATCCTTACAAATTTTAGGAATTGAATTCAGGGAACTTATTTTGGAAAAGGTTATTGGGCCAAGGGAGTAATGATCCAATTCTGCAGAATAAACGGAGAAGCCGTGTTTTCCCCGAAATTTTGCACAAATGCTAGAAAATGCCGCAGGAGGTAGTACAATAACACAACAGACTTGTCTATTTTGAGAGCTTTTAGGTTTTCCTGGAATTCAAAGGAAGAACTTTTAAAGTGAGCCTGGTTGAACCTGAGTTAGAGCTTCTGTCACAAGTGCTATATGACTTACAGCTCCTTTGGCAAACTGATGCTTGAGTTTAAAGGCTTCCAAGTTAACTGGACGTTAGAAGCATGCAGTACTTTGCCTGCGAGCCCTGCCCACCACAAACAGGCGTTCTTCTTAACCCACCACCCTGAGTGTTTGGGCTTCGCCTCATACCATTTTGGAGGGCATAACCAGCTGTCAAAAACGTAACAGTTTAAGACACCAAGGATGTCTTTTTTACACTGTTGTGTGAGTGGCTGGTGGTTCTTCTGCTGTGCTCCCCCTGGGTTCCTCAGGTAGCTGCCTTCAGCTGGAAGATGAACCAGGCTGGAAGGTCCGAGGTGCCTCATCTGGAGCTGGCTACTCTGGCCCCGTGGCTGTCCTCCGGGTGCTGCTCAGTGTCTAGGGGGCTGGACTAGGTGTGGTCTGGGTGGTCTCGATGTTCCAAAGGGAGAGCATGGCCACTGAGAGGCCCTTATGGCCCAGTCTCTGGGACAGGCACTATCTCACTCCCACCATGTCCTATTGGCAAAAGCCATCCCCAAGGACAGCTCCAATTCATGTGGTAGAAAGTGGCCCTGTCACACAGCAGGAGTCACTAAGGGCCAGTCTTGGAACGACACACCAGACTCCTGAAGCTGCCTCAGGCGAACCCGGAAGGAGGCTCAGAGCTGAAAAGCATGTGCTCGGGCCTGAGACAGAGGCAGTTTTGTTCAGTGAGACTGCCCAGAAGGGTCTCCCCTAGGTGGTTTTTCTCCCTCCTGCCAACCACAGGAGAAATGTAACCTGCCTATAAGAATGGCCTAAGCCTAGTAATGATGTCTTGGGAACAAAACGCCAGTTAACCTGCCCCAATAGTGCTCACTCCTGTACCATATATTTTCTTTGACCTAGTTCTGCTGTAGATTGGAACACGGTGCTATTAAGAGAGCAGGACAGAAATCTAAGTTATGCTGTAGTTGCAGGAGGGATCCAGTTGACCTAAAATAACTCTTCCTTTTTATATCTTTTTGCAATATATCTTACAGTATTCCCAGGGAAGATCTTGTTTTCTTTCTCCTCCTTGAGTATTTTTCTAAGATACCCCTTCAGTGGTTCACTTTTCTCTTCAATTCCCTATTTTCCCAAATAGCAGGCTTTATTTCGGTCAATTTTGACCCACTTCAGTATGACCTGGGGCAGTCAAAACCTAGCTGTGCTGGTTCTCCTCTCTGAAGCACACTGAGCTGTCAGTGGAAATGTGAGCTGCTCGTGGCACAGACTGAGTCTAGGAAATGAATAACACACCCTGGAGGAAGAGGAAGACAACCTCCCATGGCCAGGGAGCAAGAAGTCCACCTGTCCATTTCTCACTGCAAGGGATGCAGTTGTTATCAATAGGAGTTTTTAATTGCAAGCAACAGAAATCAACTCTAGAGAACTTAACCAGGAGAAGGGTTTATTGGAAGATATTACACGGGACACAGACTTTCTGAGAAGGCTGGAAAAGCAGGCTTGGTGGCTGTAAGTCAAGAGCCATGTCTAAAATCACACCACAGCACTGATCTCATGAAGCAGTCACATCCTGGAGACCCGGGCACGACCCTCACTTTACTGACACTATGATCTTGGATCCTGGATGCTGCCCCTGCCACTGCTACCCCCTGAATCTGAATGAAGAGCCCCTGCCACCACCTCCCTTACAGAATACGTCCCATGCACCTGCTTCTTTGTGTCACCAGTGCATTAGTCAAAGTCTGGGGTGCAGCTCATGGATGAAGCAGAGACCACATGCATATGCTCTAGATGCAAGGGCGGCTTGGAAAGAGGGTGTCTAAGTTCTCAGTTCCCAGAGCGGAAGATGACCACTGCCTCTTGCCAGGACTCATCATATGAGCACGTTGGTTGAAGTCATGCTAGCTGCTGTCATAGTTAAGTCCCAGATCTCTGTGACTGACACAACAGATGTTTCTTTTTGAACTCACATAGTATCCGATCAGTGAGAGGAGATGGCGGGGGTAGGGGATGGTTCCCTTCCACACCGTCGAGGATCCTGGCTAATAGAAGCTCTGCCTAGTCCCTAGCACATTGCTTTTGAGGTCACTCTGAGCTTCAACATGAAGCTGGCAGGGAGCAGAGGATTGCCTGAAAGATTGTTTTGGGACAGGCCTAAACCTGGGATACATCATCTGTTCTTATATTCTATTGTTTAGAAGTGACATAGCTGTAAGAGAAGCTAGGAGATGTTATCTAGCTGAGTACCCAGGAGAAAAGGTAAAAGTAAAAAGTTGGCGAACAGTTAGCTAGTCTGGCATACTGGGTAATTTTCCAAACATACAATAGAGATTTAGATCCTGGATAGCCTCCCAAAAATAATTAAGGTTCATGACACATCCTTATTCTGTTGGCTGGTACTGTAGGGAGTGATTGAGACTAGTTCAAACTAAGAATACACATAAGGAAGCATGCCTTCAGTCCCTGGCACATCCTTTCAGAAGTTCCACATTATTTTTCTAGTTGCCAAAAAAAAAAAAAAGGCAACCAAAAGATAGTTAAGATATCAAGATACTTAACAGAGCATCATAGGCTACTTGGCCCCTCAGATTCCATCATTGGAACCTTGGTGTGATTTCTACGTTCCTAATGTCTTTCCAGCTCTGACGGTCCATCAGGTCAGGAGGTATAAAATACTTCCACCATATGATGCACTTGGGGGAAAGTTGAACCTGTCCTCTCTGCTGGAGTCCAAGTATAGTTTTCCCCCAGGGAGTAGGTCCTG